GGCAGCGTGGGGGGGGTGTCACAGCCCTGTGAACCCCCGTGGGAGGAGCTGGTGAGGGAGGGGGGAAGCTGAGCGACCTCCAGCACCCCAAAAACCAGAAATAGACGGGAAAGTGGGAAAAATTATGTATTTGTAAGGGATTTAGCGCCTTAGCCGGTGAGAAGGGAGGGGAGCTCCGCTTGCACTGCATTTGCCCCCCCCCATATTTGTGGGGGTGCCGGGAGAGGGGACTCCTCCGAGGGACTGTCCCCGCCCCCCGCGGGGTGCGCACCCACGCAGGACCCCCTCCACCCCCGGTGCTGCTGGGTTTGGGGGGAAATTCGCCTCCTGCTCCTCCTCTTCCAGCTCCTCCCAATAGCAACAAAAAGCTGGGAAAAAGCAAAACCCCCCCGAACCCCGCAAACCCCGGGCGCGGGGGGAGCCCACCCCGCAGGGGGACCCCGGGAAGGGCGGGGGCCGGTTCGCAATGAACCGATTTTCGGCGTCCGAAAGAGCCGTCGAAGTCCAAGTTCAAGGCGAAGGAGGCCGAGGGTCCCCCTGAGGGCTGGGGGGCTGGGGGGGGCGCGGCACCTTCCCAGGGCTCGGACCTGGGGGTGAAAGTGGGGATGAAAGAGGCTGCGGGGGGCGGGGGAATAAAAATAATGAAAATGGGATGGGATGGGATGGGATGGGATGGGATGGGATGGGATGGGATGGGATGGGATGGGATGGGATGGGATGGGATGGGATGGGATGGGATGGGATGGGATGGGATGGGATGGGATGGGATGGGATGGGATGGGATGGGATGGGATGGGATGGGATGGGATGGGATGGGATGGGATGGGATGAGACGGAACGGAATGGAATGGAATAAAATAAAATGAAATAAAATTAAATAAGATGAAATAAGATGAAATAAAATGAAATAAAGTAAAATGAAATGAATAAAATAAAATAAAATAAAATAAAATAAAATAAAATAAAATAAAATAAAATAAAAAAAAATATAAACCCAATAAAAGCCATGCCCGCATCCTTTGAATTTCACGAAGCGCTGTGAGTCCATCCAGAAATCACCCAGGAGAACCATCCCTCCCCATCCCAAGATCCACACGGATCGGAGGGGCGATGGAAGAAGCCGAGCAAGAAATGCTACCGAAATTAAAGCCGGGTGTCCGCCACGTCGAGGGGAAGGGAACAAAACCCCCTCCCCCCGCCAGCAGCCCTCGATTTTTTTTTCCCCCCTTTAATTTTTATGAAGTAGTTAACATTTTGTAGCATATGTCCGATCTGCGCGGCGCGGGAAGGGGATTAAATGTTAAAAATGTAAAGATTTATGGTAAGGGCGATAGGGGCGGAACGGGGGATGCGCGGAGCGGAGCGGGCAGCGGGCGGGCAGCGGGCAGGGCTCGGTGCCGAGGCGCTCGGGAGTTAAGGTAGGAGCCCTGAGGAAGGCAGAGCCCACGATAAATTAGAAAGAAGGGCAAATTGCGCTGGCGGGTTTGGGGAAGGGCATTTCCACTTCGTATCCCGGGGAAATATCGGTTTAGTGAAACGCTGAATTTTGTAATTCGGTGGGTTAGGGCGGGTTGCACGTCGAAAATTAGGAGAGGGGGTGAAAACAAGGGAAAAGAGAAGAAAACAAGAGAAAAAGAGACGAGAACGAGAGAAAAGAGAAAAGAACAAGAGAAAAAGAGGGGCGAGGGAGAAAAAAAAAACAAGAGAAAAAGAAAAATCCAAGAGAAAAAGGTCTTTTTCTAGAGGTAACAGAGGAGAAAAATCACAATGAACGCGGTGCTTTCCTGGGGAAGGGTCGGTGGCTGGGAAGGGAGGAGGAGGAGGGTCGGTGGGCAAACCAACCCTCAGCTCGGAAATTCAGGTTTTCATTTCCAAAATGCTCCTTTTTTGGCCATTTCTTTCCATTCCGCAGCTTTCCAGGGCGGCTCTGCCCGCGGTGGCGCTGGGTTTAATGAGCCCAACCCAGCTCAGGGACGTTTACCCCCACCAAAATGTGGAACCGCTTAGGAGAGGGGTACCTATAAATAAAAAATAGGAAGAGGGGAAGGAGCAATTAGAAATAAAAGCAGATGTGAGACCCCTTCGTTAGGTTAGGTTTTTGGTTTTCATATATATATAGCATTTTTTTTCCCCAAGCTCTTTTTAAAGTATAATATTCCTCTGCTTGTGCATTTATAGAAAAAGGCTGGCAGAGTCCGCGTCGCTCACACACCATCCCCGCAGCATCCCATTTGCAGGATTACTTTTTAA